TCCATGTCACTTTCGTAAAAAATGCGAGTTAAAATATATACCACGGGTATATACAGCGCCTATATACTAGCAAAACAAGAATTTTTTGTTAATATCATATTTAATTTGATTCTTTCAGATTCAAAGGCCTCAAACACAACAAAGTACAAAGTCCCTAACTATGATTTATACATTATATATTTTGTTCCAAAAATTGTTGCAATCTAACAATATATTATATATCTTGTTCATAAATATAATTGAAAAAAAATCCTCTCTTCCTACTTTTTTCCCCTACCCAATATTTATTGTCTAATTACTTTTCAATTAATAACTTTTAAGTCCCAATGGTTTGATCATGTAGAATTTGATCCATTTTCTAATTGAACGAAAAGTATTCTACTGAACATCTCCAAGTAGCATCCAGTCCCCATCATTTAATCTCTTAACCTCGCACACAAGGTAGGATACGACATGTGTACATGCATGTTACTTATTGTTGTTGTTATTGAGGTCACCTCACGACAGTGAGACTCGTTCCTAGAGTTATAATAAGTGGTAGTGAGACTCGATTTAATGATTTCTATTTGCTCTAATATATACCATGTTAAAATTTATGATATATCATCTCATATAAGTTTTATGAATATTACACGTAGCTAGGTTAAATTACTTATTCCAATTTGGTTGCAGTAGTGGAGATTTCATTCTGGTGAGGATTCCACATACGATAAAAAATAAAAATTGACTCCTCTATTTGAAAAAAAATGGGCAAAGGTAGGTGTTGGATACGATATTATAAGAGCTTTTGGATTAATGTGGAAGGACACGTTTAGACAAATGGGTGGTTCCTTTTGTTTCATGTCATTAATTAGAGGAGTTAATCACGGAAAAAGTGAGCATAGGGTCCATATATATACCAGTACGATAACAATAATATATCCAATAAAATGTCTAGAAATTAGAAGAATACAACATAGATAGACTTAGCTTTCTTAACTCTCTCTTCTTTTTTTATAACTCGTTTGGAATTTTTTTTATAACTTGTTGGCAGTTATTTCTTATTTACTTCCACTAGCGCAACAAATATTCTGCCTGATCGATAAATTTTATTTATATTAAATTTAAATAAGTGTTTACTATATTGACTATATATAAGTAGTGTCTTTTTGCCTTGAAGTGCAAGTATAGCTACTTTGATAATGAAATGGGTTATGAAAGAAGACCGTGAGATCATGATCACTCTTTTTTGCTAAAGTTTAAGCTATCATCTAGGTTGTGAGCTCAAGATGTGAGAGTTAGGCTCGACTCTTATATGAAGTTAATCAAGTTGGAGATTGTTTAAGCTATCATCTATGTTGTGAGCTCAAGTTTGCATCGAATGATATGGTCATTGTTAAGACATAACCCAAAATTACATATTTCTTTTATAGAAACCGTCACAATATATGTGATACATGAAGGAAAAGTCTTTTTATATTACAAGATCTCTCATGTTTGAATTTTAAGTTTATAAAATTCTTTTCGAGTCAAAAAGTCATAATATTTCACACGATTGTATGCGTCTTCAATAGAAATTAAATGATATAACTCATATAAATTAAGAAAAATAATTGGCTACAACTTAGCTATATGTATCTACTAGTGATTGAGTGAAGCAAAGCATGGCACTCGTGTGTGGAAAAAGATGTTGGGACCAATATGTCTTGGGCACTTTAAGGAACAAGTCAACCTTAGAAGATTCCATGTGCTAAACCAACTCATGAATTTAAGAAGAAGAAAAAAAAGTAATGTCTGAGTCATGTGACCCTGTTGCTTTGTCGGATTTTGACTTATTTCTACCCCTTTATCACGCTTCCAACCGACACGTTCACACTCTCATGTACCTCTCCTTATATATGTCTACATTTAAAAAGAAGGAACTAATCAACGATAAGGTCCTAGTAGAGTGAATAAATATTCTTCTATCTTTGATTAGATATTAGATTCGAATCTCTTTAGATTGCATAATCGCTTTTATCAGAGAGTGTTTTATCCCTAAGTAAGACTTTTCAATGTCAATCCAGATACAGAGGAAGGGAGTATTATAGGTGGAGCTTTTTCACTATTTTAATATATATATATATATATATATATATATACAGCTAGTAGCCTATTGTTTTATTCAATTATTTATTTATGAACTACTATAACTTACTTTATAGGTGCTATGGTAAAATTATTTTACATTTCTATATTGTAGGTGCATAGTGACTAAAGTCTAGTTGATTATATTGCTCTTGAAAAATACCAGTCTTGAATATAATAATAAAGAAAGGTTTGCCAGTTTAGTTCCCATATTGATTGCTTCCCTCAACAAGAAATTCTGGTTAATTAATTTGGTACTTGTTCGTACTGTCCAAAATACTCCATATTATAGCACATGCCACACATGAATGCATATTTAGGTTGAGCTTTTGAAGATATGTATGGAGTCGCATTTGCTAGGGAGCGTTTTATCTTAATATGGGATTTTCCAGCGTGAATCTGAATTTAGTCGGGTTCCAATGTGGATATCGAACACCGGGTGGAAAAAAAAATAAGATTAAACAAATTTCAAATTAACCTTATTATAAATTTTTTTATATATATGATCAATTTTCTCATAAATATTTGTTGAATGTTAATAATAGAACTTTTATTAAACACATTTGGAAAAAGGCTAACACACATGACTCATGAGTTACGAAATTGGAGCCTTTCAAATAAGAAAAGGTCAATCCACGAGTAAAACAAGATTTCCAAAATCTAGTAAAATACACTACTCAAGAATGAGTATGAGTATTCAACCTTTTTGATAAATAATTCAACATTCAATCAACGACAATAATATTCAACCCTTTTTTTTAAAATATGAGTGTTAATCAATAATGCTATATTAAATTTTAAAAATATCTATATAAATCTATTATGAATAAATCATGAGTTCACGTGAATTATAATTCAGACAGTAAGGACATGCACTTCATTAATTTTTGAACGTGAATATAGTATAAATTAAAGTGAGTAATTTGGGGGGATGGACAATTTGCGTGGACCAGTTTTTGATGTGTTTCAACATTTAAGGTTAGTTTTCTTGAATTGATCCAACATATCATATTTTTCAGTTATATGGTATCATTCCTTTTCTAAAAAAATTCAAACAAAAATTGACCTCTCATAAAGGGGAACGATCATGACTTCAACTTTTTCTCATGCATGGGTAATTTATTTTTGGAACAATTTCCATTATTAAAATTTGCGGACTGAACAGTGAACAGACTAGAAAAAGTGAGTCAACATTATATTACACTTTTTATGAATTAAAGAAAATGACTCTGCAAATATATAATATGAGATAGAAGTTTTTAAAAAGTATTATTAATTAATTTACATTGTAAAAACTATATAAATGGACCATAAAACTTAAAATAACTATATGTTCATACCCCAATCCAAAGTAATTCAAGAAATACCATTCTCTTAAAAAAATAAATAAATTATATATATAGGACATACCCCCCATTCATTAAGGCTGATAATTTTCGCTTAACTGATACTAAATCAATATCATATATTGTATTGATATCATGAATACTAATAATTGCGCTTAACTGATACTAAATCAGTATATATATATATATATATATATATGTATATACTGTATTGGTATCATTGACGTTTCTCATTCAAAAATTATTTATTAGTCAATGATACTAAAATCATGTTATCCTAAAACAATATTAATTTTAATTAATACAAGAATGCCTTCTGTCGGACGTATCTACGAGGGCATCAACGATCATGTGCAGTGGTAGTTTAATTAGTTGCTATATATTAATACTTTCTCAGTTCAATTTATTTGATATTTTTTTCTTTTTTAGTCTTTCCTAATTAAAAGAATGTCTTATTTTTATAATTATAAATAAATTAATTACTTCCTAAATTTAATGTTAACTCAAATAATATAACATTAATTGAGATAAAAAAAAAAGTACATCTGACATATTTTCGTCAGTATCGGACAATTGTGAGTTGTGACTGAATTATATATAATATTCTTTTTCAACTCGTATAAATAATATTTATATACATACATCCTTAATTCACGTTATATGAGAATTGAAAAACTTGACCCGATCGAGAACATGGTTTACAAGTTTCCCATGGTTTCTTGAGTCATTTGGAAATAATAATTAACTAAGATTAATGCATCTTGTTAATTAAAAAAATGGACTACGTTTGACTGATAATTAGTTAAATTAGTGTTGGGATTCCAATAGAATTAATTAAGTCTGATTAGCATGCATGCATGTAAGCGTTAAAAAGTTATATATATATATATGCTTTTACTGGAAACTATGCAATGTTCATCTGTATTTCATATATACATATAGTCCAAAGAGAAAGATACATTATATATATATATATATATATATATATTATATTATATAGTATAAAATACATGGGAAATTGAGTTGGATGGATGCGGCAACTTTGACATTTTAACTTATGCATGAACCTATATATATTCTTTTGTTAATTAGCTATTCTAGGTCAATTCCCAGAAGTCGTACGTGTGATAACACATTTAATTATATAAATTGACATATATATTATCAATGTATATACTTCTATTATTACAACAAGTTATTTAATTTACATTATTCTTTTAAGTTATTGAAGTAGACTTATTATAGATATAGCGTTATATGTTGTTGTAATTACAAGTATCTCTACTATACTATGAGAACATTTTACACTATAATTATTAACCTTGTTAATATTATCGAAAATTTGTGAGTGTTTTGCAAATATATGTTGATTGTTGAGAACTTAATTAAGTAAATAAAAATATCCTAGTAAATATGGAGAAAAAGTCTCAACAATTTTGAACTCTTAAAATTTTCACTTGTTTTAAACTATGGAAAAAAAATTAACAATTCACTTAATATGGACCAGGAAAGTAACATATAATGAGATAAATGAAGAGAAACATTTTTTTTTAATAAAAAAATTAAATATACTAAAAGCTAATGCATTAATAGCTGCGAGCTTTAAGTACGTTATATATCTGGATTACATTACAAATTAACAAAATTATCAACCAACATAAAAGAGGAAATCATGATATAATTATGTCTTACAATTACACCTAATTAAAATTACAGGTACATTTCCATAATACAATTAAACATATATAGGAGAAACAATAACATAATTAATTTAACTTAATGATATGAGAGGCTATTAATTAATTAAAAAGCGTCATTTCTCTTTGGACATTAATACCCTTGAGAAAATCTTCTGTTCGAAGCCCTATCACTTTTGCATCAGATCTCTTCATTATCCTTAGCCTTTTACATGATTCACTAAACATCCTGTTAATTAAATCACAAATTTAGTATTAATATTAATTAAAAATAAATAGATACTATAGGCCTGCTGGTAACAGTAAGAAATATTCAAAACACAATTGAGTGTATATATAATAATAAAACGACATGCATGGAAAAATTGTCTAAAATTTCATGATTGTGAAACTGTGTAAGAAGAAAACGTGGTCCAAAAAAGCTTTCAATGTGATAATTACTGCTTGACCCTTGATGTTTCTTGTCCTTGGGGACATTTTTGTCTCATTCAAACAATATTATTAATTTCTTCCATAATTATGCCTTAATTTGTCGGCAATGAAAAAAGCTGAAATTAAAATCATTTAATTAAATTAACCATTTCTTCTATCCCTATCTCTATCTATTTCTCAGCAGATGTGAGATGAGAAGAGGGAGTTGTTCGAATGATAGGTTGTGAGTTCGAATCATCAAGGGAGGAAGCTAGGAATGGGTAAGAAAAAAATTTAAAAAAACATCACTAGATATTTGGTTGACAAGTTCAATTCAAATGTTTAACTCATCGAATGAATTATGCTCTCGTCAAGTTTTTAAAATTAGTTTATTTTGAAAAATATATTTTTTCAAATGTGTATAGTAAAAAAGAAATTGTAAGAAATAGTTTGTATTTGATCAATAAAATATTTTTGAACAACAAGTAGTGTATAATTTTTTAAAAGTTCTTATTTCTTAAAATTGTTTTTCAAAAAAAGTTTTTTATAACGAAAAAACCACTTTTTTTTTAGCTTCTGAAAAATTAGCTACTCCATAGAACACTTACTTTTACGAAAATTTTGACCAAAATCTCACTTTATTTAAAATAAACATCTTTTTTGAAAAAAATAAGAACTTTTAATCATTCATAAACTTGGTCAAACAGACAATTAAATCCAACAAATCCACATGAGAAACATCACGTACACCTAGTAAATTAAGTAGTAGTACGGATTATGAAAAAAAAAAAACTGTCCAAGAAGTCATCGTGTTAGTATAAACGACGACAAAACATTAAAGTTGGTGATTTAATATAATAAAAACTCACATTAATCATTATTTCGTAAGAGGCGTGCAAAATTTTATATGAACAAGTAAACGTAAATGAAAGATGTAAAAAATGAACTTACTGCCAGGGAACGTCACCCACAAGCATCCAGTCTCCATCTTTATCCTCGTATATCGGAATGTACTCTGAACTACCTTCACCTATCCACAAATTCCCACTTCTCAATATATATGATCGTTTTGTACGAGGGATAAGAGATGAGAAATAACATATGAAATACATAGAAAAAATAATACCATACCAACTCATACAAAAATATAAACTCAACACTCATATAATTCAAAAATTCTAGTTTTGTCACTGATTATAGGGGAAAGGGTCAGATATACCCTCAACTTTGTCATTTAGAGTTGATATACCTCTCGTTATAAAAGTAACTCATATAATTCCTATTGTTATACAAATGACTCACACGAATAAATTATACAAAGAAGAAATTATTTACTTACAAATGCCATAGAAGTGGAAGAGTTTTTCAAGATTGATAACAAATCCAGAATAATCCTTATGAATACTCAAATCAACTTTTCTAAGAAATGGTGCACCATCCATGCTAACTTTCACGTACATCTTCTTCGATCGAGCGTTACTATTATTGTTCTTTCTCCGATAACCACAAACCGGTGGCCATCCAACAACTTGGTTCTTATCATCGTCGTTAACGTTGGTGCTACTTCGATCACTATCGATCTCCGAAAACACCCTTTTTTTCTCATTTTTTGAACTAGGAATAAGCCCTAATCTAAGCTCTGTAATTTCAAGTTCTGTTGCCATTTTGTTTGATGAGAAAAAAGGGGAGTTAGTTTATAATTTATATATATAGTGTGTGTGTGTGTGTAAGAGGAGCAGTGAAAATAAATGGTCGGTCACATGAGAAAGCATGGTAGGGAACTATATGTTACCTATAATACTAATATGGACCGACAATTTCCTAATTTTCTATGGTACCGCTATCGTACGTATGTAGGGTTATACTTCCTCCGACTAATAGAAAATAAAAAATTAATGATAGATAAAATTTCATAGCTAAATTAAAAAAAAAAATCATACTAATTGCATTTAGCAATGGATTATATATTAGAAAATTAAATTAGCTTGGAATTTTGAATGACGAATTATCTAAGAATTGCTGATAAATTTCGAAGCTAATTTCATATTTTTAAGTTGTACTGTCTACGGCGAAATAAATGATTTTTTTGGTTTTTTTTGGTGTGGAGCACATCCCTTGAAAAGTTAAAAAAGACATTAATAATAGTGTCCGTTGCAAAATAAATGATATTTTGGTGTGCATCACATTAAAAAAAGTAGTTAAAACAGTGATTTGTTAATAGTATCACTTTTTTTGCTTCTTTTAAAACTAGAGATAGTCGAAGGAAACTCATTATATAGAATTTTGGATTAAAATAATTAATAATCACTTTATTCAATTTAAGTGTGTTGTTTCTTTTTTAGTCTAATTCAAAACGTGTCTTCTTTAATATTTAGTAAGTTTTTAATTTCAATATTCTACCTGGCATAAGTTTGAAACCACTAATTTAAAGAATATACACATCTTTAATGTGATTTTTTCACACACACAATTTAAATTAAAAAACAAATTAGCTAAAGATAAAAGAAATTTTATTCATCTCGTCACAATTTTTGATAATTTTAGGGTTTGTGTCTTTTGCTTCCTATGAAAAGACTTTGGCTTATTTATATCTAGACTAGACTAGGTTATTTGTCCTACAATTCAAGTTTTGTGGTTTTGCTTCTTTTACTTACCTTTATAGGTAGAATATTGCTATAGAAATGTAATTAAAATCTAACATGAAAAAATGATTTTGAAGAAAATCATATTATTATAGTGAAATGTTATCATAACAAAATGATAATTATAATGAGGGCTCGACTATGTGTAATTCATATATAAAAATTTATTTAAACCCTTTTATAAATATTGGAGGTTTAATAAGTGAACATTTGATAGTTGTCAACAGAAAACATGCCATGTGATCTTTCCCTTTGAAGGGCTCACTTAATTTATATTCAATATATACTCCCATTAAAATTGTGTAATTATTTCAAGTTAAGGACCAGAGTATAGACTATAGACTTACAGAATCAAGTGAGAACTTGACAGGTCTCAGAGCTATTGCGCTTTTAAAAAGCGGCGTCCACCTGCACTTCGTATATAACTGAAAGCTTAACGTAATCAATATAGATGGTCTAATTCCACCCAAATTAAGGATGTGTTTAATAAGAAAGAAAAATATCACGGAACATATCAATTAATTGAACATATTTGATTTATGTGATTGAACACCAAATTTAAAAGGAAGATTTAGATTGAACACCGAATTTAAAAGGAAGATTTATGTGACTGCGAAGATTAAAACTAATTGTCAAAAATATTTGTGTGATACTAAATTATTTTTTTATGAGTATTTTTTGAAAGTTTAAGATTAAATTGTTTTAAATATATAAATATATTATTCTTTTCAAAACAAACTAAAAGAAAATTAAGTTTTGAACTTGCAGTTTTAACAAACAAAAAAATCAAATTTCACATTTGCCCGTAGAGATTTTTCTTTGTTCTTTTCGTTCCAATCTTCAGCTAGAGATGGGTGATAGATATAGAGGTAATGTTTCTCTAGTTTGGCCTTGATAGACGCTAGAGTGAATTCAATTACTAATTTTCCAATTCCAACCACCCGAAGACGGAACAATGAACATTGTCAAACCCTTACTCATTTCTTAGAGTCAAGTGACTTTCCACTCCTCTGAGACAATTCATTCCGCTAGATTGTGGGTATTAATTATCATTTTCACTAGAAAGCAGGTTGAAGAAAAAAACATAGGGTAAATATTAATTGACTACGAAGTCACTTGAGAGATGATTAAAAAGTAGTACTATGTCTCCATTAGTAACATAGACATAGCCTTTAATCGTTCTTTATATCATACATATGAATTCTCATATAAGCACATTTTTGTGGGGTACTAGATTTGACGTTACATTTCACTTTTCATGCTCATTTTTCACGTTTTTCCACTTTAGAAATATGCTGGCAACACAACTCATGCAGAAAAAAGAAAAAGAGGGCTAGGGAAACAAAAAAAGAAACTAAGGTCCAATTAAAGCTAGCATAGACAGACGAATCGACTGGTCTAATAAATCATGGTAAGTCATCCCAGCAACTCAAATCAATTTGTAAGTTTCTCCGAGTACTATCACAAAAATCTTCACATACTGTGTTTGTACATTAAATAATGCTTGACAAAACTGAATAATACACAAGCCTTCACGGTCGTCTAGCTTGGCATATTGTTCTATGCTAGTGGTATACAAGATCCAGACCTGAAAGACTTCTGGAGAGCTCACTTCGATCTCTAAGTTGTTGAAACCGAGTTGCACTAGCCCAAGAAACTCTTTTTCTGGTATCTGACCAGACCCTGAGAAACCAGACAATGCTATACCATCATAACAATACCAGATCAAATATACACAGAAGCCAAGAAATTGAATCCAGGGGTGGAGAACTGCTGCAAAAGGAAGTCTGTCTGAAAGCAAGAAATCATCAGATGTCTCACACCCATTTGAACCTTCCCATTGGTGTACGAGTACATTCGGAGGTTAAAAATGCAGTTTCAATTAGCTTCTCCAGTACTCTTGTCGACAATTACTTCAGCATGAAATATACAATTAGATATGTAGATCCTTCAGCGTGTCCAGCTTATCTAATCTCCCATTTGATGAAAGCAGAGCAGAATTTTCACCAGTATTCAAGTTGACAACTCCATTTTCAGGGGTTTTCTGTGTCTGATGGTTAGCCGAACTTGTAGCAACTGAGCTACGAGTACCTTCAAAATAAGTTGAGAATGGGAAGAACTCGGCGCAGCGCAATTTCCATCCTACACGAGCGTGCCAAACACATCATTCTCCAGAGAATTATCAAGTATAATTCAGTCAAAGACAAAAGGATTTTGAGTCTCTATTTTGCCAAAAGTTGCCAGCACATATGTACAAGTAACATAACTGAAGGTTTTTCTTTTCTTTTGAAGTAATAAGCAAGCACTTATCAGACAATAGTGTAGAATAAAGGCCCGAAGAAGTAGCGACTACAGCTAAAAGTCATTTCCTGTAGGTGTCACACTAAATAGGAATGGGGTGTCTACCTATTTTTACCTATAAATAACCTACACTCAATCAAAGTAAAGACTTGAACAGACAATTTTACATTCAAAGATGTATATATTTGAAATGAACCACTTTGAGTGATAGGTCACTGCTTCCATTCTGGATGGACTCATCGGACTAACATTACAAGGTAAACAGTTTGTTGGATATACAAGTGTTCAATATAATAGCAAAATGCAGAAAATTGGGGGAAAAAAACATGTTCACAAAATGGGCCAGACAAATCCAATCAGAGGGAACTCAACAAACCAGAGGTAGAGCACATAATCAACTTCCTCGAAAAAGATGCACCACATCTTTTAAAAACCCTTTAGAAGTTTATTTCAATTGGATGTTAACTTCAAGGAGATAAAATCTAGTAGGGGTTTGCACAATTCAGTTTAAACCGAAAAAACATCTGAACTGAAAACTTTGGTACTCTCGATCAGTTTTAGGTTTGAATAAATCAGAGATTCAGTTCTCGATTTACTAAAAGAATAACCAATAAAACTGAAGTTTATATATTTAGATGCATTATATATTTAGTCTTGGGACTCATATGAATTGCTCGGAAGTTTTGGTAGTTAAGGACTTGTGAAGAGTCCCATTGGCCCTTTAAGGGATGGGTGGGTCTATTGATATGGATTGATCAAATCCTCACCTCTTGAGCTAGCTTTTGGGGTTGAATTAGGCCTAAGATCCATTTTTTTTAACATGGAATCAGAGCAGGACTGGTCCCAAATCTCACTTCCGATGTTGGGCCCCTATATGAAATTGTCTAGACTTGGGCGTGGTTGGGGTTGGGGGGATTGCAAACACAACTAGGTTTGCTTCAAAATTGCAGCCTCCTTATCAAACTCCTTTGCATTCTATTTCTCCAACAGAAGTTACACCAGATTTCATGGGGACCTAAGTCACTAAACTCTATTGTCTGACCATACTGATGGACCGTAAAAATTCCACAATTTTGATTTAGTACAAGTAGAGTTGTCGGAAGAAACTTACCATTTCTAAAAATATAAAATATATTATTGGTGGCATCACTTCTTACCTGACTGTGGCAATGGCACAGTTCTTTGATTGAGCAGATTAATTAAAAGTCACACTTGGGACTTGGGAGGGGCATATTGGTGGCTTCTTCCGGTATATTTCACGGCAACTCACAAAGGCTTTACGATGAACCACGACTCAAATATCTCCCAACGTAGTGCTCTGTGCTTGTGATGAGTATTGGCTCCATAGCTTTTATTGCTATCGTTCATGGCATGGGTAAGTTGCACATTTTCTTTTCCTTTTTTTTAATAAAGAGGGTAAGCTGTACTTATTTGCAGAGAGTCCTAAAGAATCTCATATCCTATTTGCTCAAGCTGGTAGGTAAGATCAGATAACTGATTGGAGATAGTTTGTACAATGAAGAAGAACCAAACCAAAAATTTAATAACTGAAGTTAACCGAGATAATTTCAGTTCAGTTTCGGTTTGCATATTTGGAAAACCATACACCGATGACCAAACCGAATGCCCACATAAACGAGGGTGGGGACAGAAGTGCAGTAATCTTGTCTTAAAATCTCTTAAATGTTTGTGATGCTAGAGAACACCGCCAACACTGTGAAG